CTTCTTCGTTTTTCTCATTTCTTCCTTGCGCTGCCATAAAGAATCCTTCAACATCGCTGCGGTCCCCTCCATGTTTCTTGTGGGATCCGCGAACTGAAAAGCTGGAGCAGTGCCCTGGGTGGGTCTTGTAACAGAAGAAAATATTCTATTCTGTTGAGTGAAACATATGCGTCATATGTGTCTTGCAAACCACTGGCCAATAAAATTGAACAGGTGACTCTTGATACATAGATGAAAAGAGATAAGCATGAAAACATTAACTGGTGTCAGGTGTTTCCCAGTTAATGCCATTGCGATAACAGACACAAGTGCAGCTATTGGCCCTGAAGCCATGTCCAAGGCAGCAAGGCTTGTCAAAATGATGCTCTTCTTTCGGATAATACTTATCTCACGGCTGAAAAGAAAATATTAAAAGAATTAATGATATTAAAAGATGCGCGTCATTGTTAGCCTGAAAAAACTGCTGACACTTCGCGATACCACTAGTGGTTTTCACGCGAAATAACGTCTTAGAAACAAGCGCATAAATTCTCTACTAATGACTTTTCACTATCCTGGAGCCAGTTTAATAAAACTTTTACAAGTGTAATTGACAAGTATGGCTATTGTTTTTGAGAATGAGAGCAATAGCCACGCGTAAATTACACTTGTAATAGTTCTATGAAATTGACCCTAAGTATGGATAGTGTTTCTGATTTGTCGCGCCGCGTGAAATCTTGCTTCAACAATCAGACACTACCCAGATCTGGGTAGTGACACGTCATCAGTATGGAATTTCTGCGCTCGTTCCTCAGATTTCATTTCTTCGCGGGAAAACCAGTGGTGGGCTCGCGCACGAAATGTCTGCTGTCAGTTCTCAGGCTACTTCATTCTTTATGTTATATACATAGATTTTGCGTAGCATAGAAAGGTCTAATTAGGAACTCATTGTTTTCTTAAGTACGTTGTCTTTTTAGTACAAAAGCCACGTACTTTTGTGTAGAAGATAACCATGCATATTTGTGCATGATTTATGAAGAGACACGGCAAATTCCCTTAAGAGCATTACCTGGTCTGACTTGAAAAAACAAATTTACAAGTTTAAAGGTCTATTGTGTTTTTCCTACCTTCGTGTACTTTTAATGCTCTCTCAGTATTCCTTCTCCCATGCATTTGTTTTGATGGCGCGAATCCCAGAAACTACCTGGTTCATCCACGAGAGCCTCTGGTCAGAAACCCCGGCTGTGCGCAGGCGCAACCTAGAGCCAGCAGCGGACATCAGAGCGTAATATGGAGAAAGACAAGCCAGGAAAATAACGCCCATTAATGACTGCCAGCCGATAAAGTACACCAGCCAGATTGTGACTACGGCGACCTCGAATAATGTAAAACTATTGAGAATAATAACTTGAAAGCCTCCTCTTCTAATCGTTGCACATCGTTTGATAGGAGATCGATCACGTGCCCAGTTGAAAACTTTAGCAAGGCACTCTTCGTGAGAACGAGTGTCTGAAAAGAAATAAACTACCAGACGTTAGCTGATTGTTATAAAGATTGAAAAGATTAGCAATTAAACACTGACGCGTGACAGGAGCCCTGCGCGTGAAAAATTTGTCTTAAAATTCCAATGAAAAAAAATAGAAGTCCGCTGAACAGGGAGGTCGCATGTTCACAACTCAGCCGGATCAACGCTCAGGGGCTTTAAAATGCCTGAGGAGAAAGTGCTGCCTTTGTTATCTGCAAACGGTTCGAGTTACCAGTCTTCTCGGTTAAACCATAAACGATAGGTTCCTCACCACCTTTGCTCATAAAAGATTTTGTGGAATGTAAAAGCCTGGGGCGGCGCTCAAGGGAGTTTTGGGTACCAGTGTCGCCGAGGACTTCAAACAATGACCCTTTTAGCACAAAAATCGTCTTTCCTTCCCTGTTTAAGACAAGAGAGCTCATAAAATGACACTGGCTCATTTCGCGTACAGAATTAGGTTTAAAAAACTGCGATCATAGAATTAGATTTTTGTTGTCGGTGCCACAAATATAGACCGCTCATCGCCAACCTAATTCCCGCTCTTTTAAAAGCTTCGGGGCCAGAAACGACACCCTCTTTAAAACACTAACTCTCTTTAGCGGCACGTACCTGCCAAGACCAAATAAGATAGGGCTCTCCCCCAGGCGCTAAAAACCTTCACACTCTTCTGTAATAGCAGGGGACAGAGGGATGTGAATAAACAAGGAACAGGGAGGGGAGAACGAGCACGCGAAACGGCAAAAATGAAGGATGAGAAAAAAACCTAACTGGAACTTCAGCCCTATCACTAAATTCATTTCCAGCTCTCTACTTTGTTTCCATTTTTTCATTTTCCTGTTCCCCGTGCTAGTTCCAGTCTCCCGGTTCTCGGTTTTAGTAACATATATCCGGGGACGGAATCCCTGGTGGGTGCCGTTGTCGATGTCAAATTCAGATTCATATTTGGGGGGTATTCATAATTTACTACTTCATTGATCGTAAGTAGTCTGGCAAAAAGTCCCCTAAACAAATGTGATTAATAACTTTAAAGAGTCCTTAGGGAAGTGGATAATAAGAAATTTTCAGTTTAGACATCTATAGTTATATACGTACATAAAGGATTTTATGTTCTGTTTATACGTATCATTAGAAGGGGACTGAATAAAGTTTGGTTTCTTGCGGCTAAGGTCGCTGCTGAAGTATTCAAATTAAAGGAAAGGTTTATTCTTGTGGAGGTCGTTGTAGGGAAAAAAATCCAACCTCGTTCCCAGGGCTTTTTTCCTTAGAAGATGGGAAGGGCGGGAATGACTGTCATAGCCTTACCTTGAGGTAAATTAATCCTTTGAGGGCGCTGCTAAATCGAAGTCCCCACACTTCACCTCTGTAGTCAAAGTGGTGCATGGCAAGCGAACCAATCAAAGCATTGATACCCATGCCTAATGCACAACCATACAAAAGATACACCGAGTGTAATTCTGGTGACATCAGAGATACCATAAAAAATCCTAGAAGCAATGGCTGCAGGAGGCGTGACAGAGAATACAAAGCGTAGTTCACGGTTAGAATCAACACTTCCTTGAGAGGAAGCAATTTGAGGACGCTTTTCCAAAGTTTTGGTCGTTTTTTCTTTCCCTTGCACTTGGCTTTTTCCTTGTTCCATTCTTTCTGAAGGTGTTCGATTAGAAAAGAGGACGTGTTTTCTTCCGAAAGAGGCAAAAAGTCACTTTGCTCTATTGGTCGTTCATTGCCTGTCTTGAGCACATTGTTCATCCAATGAAAGAACATGAATGATAGACAGCTGATTTTCTCTGTGTGGTCTTCATCAGGAACCTTCTTGTATCCGTCTCTTGTCATGTTTCAACACTGACTGACCTTAAAAAACACAACAACAAAAACATCTGCAAAATAATAATAATAATAATAAGCCCGACAACCCGGAGGTCAGAGCTTCCGTTGGTTACTGACCAAGCAAAACGGTTTCCTGTGTCCTCAAACGTCCGCATAACTGTTTTTATTATATAATGTACTCACTATCTGTCATCTCATTGGCTAACAGCCAACAGCTAATTTTGGAAATCAGCCTAACCTACAGATTAGTTAGTTACAGATGACTAATCTGTGGGTTGCGTGCCCAATGCATGATTTCTAACAGAAATGTCATTACAGTTTCACTACGAGCTCTCGTCCTGATTATTGCGTTCCATCGTTAGTGGACGGAATGCGTAAACGCAACAGTTTGTACTATGTGTTTATACGTTTTAGCGGACTTGTGCAGGCATAGCCTCAAATGATCTAAATTAGAAAAGTTATAAGAAGTGCAGCCCTGTTTCTCTTGCCCTTGATTAAGTTATACTGCGCCACACGACGACTTATCAACATCACGAGCGTCCCCAAACTCACTACATCTAATAACGTTCGGCGTAACGCAACTGGTCATGGTCTTATGGGAAACGTTAAAATTTAATACAAAATCAGTCTTACTGGCTTATCCTAGCTTATTATGAAGAAAAGGAATAAAGGAAACTAATTTGTGTCATATTTTCTCTTTTTCTTTTTGAAGCGGTCGGTTTTTAGGCTCAATTACCAGCCGCTGTTCGGGAAACGAGCCCGCGCTCCTCCTCCGAAAAGTCTCTTCTCGGGTCTGACCTGAGAGAGCGGTGAAATCTCGGCTCTCTGTGTTACGATCCTGTCTTGATAAAAGAAAATCCTCTTCTGCTCGAAAAATCAGCCAAGGTCGCTTGAAAAAGACATCAAAAACACAAAATATTGCATAAGTTAGTTTACTTTATTCCTTTTCTCTGCAATAAGTTTAAGATAAGGCGATTTGTTTCTTTACGTTTTTCCGTTTCCCGTGTGGGCCATATAAATCGTTAAGTTTTTTGACAATCGCTTCTGACCAACTTCCTTTCGTCAAAATGCTCTACTGTCAACTATCATAAACTTCTGTCTTGTTCCAAGAAAAGACCGAAGGGACGACTAGCTTAGTCAGTTAGAGTACGTAACTGAAAAGTGGGAGGTCGCGGGTTCGATTTTCGGGGCCGGACCGATAATAATCAGGGTCTTGAAATAACTGAGAAATTAAGGGCGCTTTCCATTTATCAGAACTGGCTGGCCGGACCATAGCCCGACAAGTCAGTTTGAAAATGAAATAGACTTTTTCCAAGTTTTTTTGCTGAAAAATCATCTCTTTGGTGCATACTATTTAGGATTTGACAGATCTGGCTGGAGAGTTTTGATTAAAAGGGAAATTCCCATTGCGACGGGAATGGTCTTGCCGGTCAGTTCTGACAAATGGAAAGCGCCCTAAGTGAGTGCTTTTGCCCTGCAAATGGCTGAACCTTCGCGCGGCTCGGATGACCATGGAGGATCTCGTCCCCAAAAGAAATGAGAAATGGTTGTTTACCATTTACAAAAAAATTCCAGAAAATCTGGTTGCAAAATAAAGGGAACAAGACCGTTTGGGTCATTCGAGTAGAAATTTTCCGGGAGCAACGGAACTTCTGAAAAGGCAGTCCTGTTTTTCAGGACAGAATGTTCCAAACGGAAATTCGTGTTCCATTTACTTCAAAGCCATCTTTGATACCAGTTTCACGCCTTCGCAGCCGTTTTCGGTAAATGAAACTGATTTGTACAAATGGTAAACTCGAGTTCGCGACGAAATTCACCTTTCCTGAATTTTTGCACCATTTGCCCAAACCGTGAACCAACCTGTTTGCCCAGTATGTAAAAAGCTAAACAACCAGAGTCTTGAAGTAGTACTTTCGTGCTGAATACATTAAGGCACGGTTCAGACGCCGTACTTTTCATGAGCCGAACCTAATTCAAATTTAAAGACCGACCCAAATTATTTGGACCGGCTAAATTGATTTAGACGCCGATCTTAATTTCAGGCGAACTAAATTCAGAGGGAGAAAAATAACCATTGCGGTCAAACTGCTTAGAAAATGGTTATAATAATTTATGCATTAAGTTAGGTACATGAAAAGTTCGGCGTCTGAATCAAAGCCGTTCCAAAGTCGCTCCAAAGGCGAAATTTCCGGCCAGGCTAGGCGAAAAGAACGGCTGAGCGGATCCAAATTGAAACAGGCGTTCCTAATTGATTCAGACCCCGAACTTTTCACTGTACTTAATTTAATGTATTAGGTTCGGCTCATGAAAAGTTCGGCGTCTGAACCGGGCCTAAGACTCAAATAAAGTGAAGGTTTTTTTCGTGTTTCCAAAGGTGATTTACTGCCTTGTTGTTGTTGTTGATGTGAATCTCAACGTCGTTTCGGTGACTACCTATGTCCAGACTCTACACGCCACGCGTTTACCTTCACTATACATTAAATATTTCCATTTGCGAAACTGTAGGCCACTGGTGTAAAACATTTCCTTTGTTTACTTTTGCACCTTGCCAGTGTGCGTATGTCAATTATGTATTTCTTTATATATCGATGCAGTATGAATACTTTACTCCATTTTGATAAAAATTTTGCCTTCCTTTCGCAAGTCGTATTTATGTCGACAGAATACTATCAAAATGTTGCATTCGAAAAACCTTGACTTGGTTCAGTTTGTCCAGTAACTGCTCTGTGACTTAAAATTGACGGGGTTAAATTTAGTTTGGAGATACTTTATTTACAGAGAAGGCCTTTTTTCGTAAAACCCCAGAAAACGAGCCGAACAGCCTATAACCTGTTCTTTCTGCAAAGATTCCAATAGATAGAAGAAATGAAGATTTTAAGAAATTCTGAAAGTGGCATCTTAAACCATCGGTCAAAGCTAGGTAAGGCAAATATTATAAGCGAATAATAATTTTAGCGCTCTTTTGGGGTAACTTACCTGTTTTAATGGGTAGCCAGCAGGCTGTGTGTTAACTTGACGTGTTAGAACAGATTCCACAAAAATATAATTGTATTCTCATGTCCGTAAACCACTCACTGGAAGTCAGAACTTCAACAGGCGATCGACTTCAGTAATAGATTTATTTTATATCTTAATTCATTACTCTTTTGTGTGAATTCGGCATGATACTAAGCCTCACTTAAAATTCCCGCCAGAATTATTTGCATTAATCAATTTAAATTCAAATTTCGAAGTAGACATTCACCAACAAAAATCATTAAAAACCACGCATGCTAACCTAGAGCCTAGGTGCTAAATATGAATTCTCGATCACTGGAAACCTTGACGAGTACGAGTACGAGATTTTCTCTATACTACGTAGTGCTCGCACGTGAACCAGCGACATTTTGGCGGGAAAATGTGGTAGCCGTAGTCATTGATCGGGAAAGCGCGTAACCTCCTTCACTAAAGATAACAGTGCTAACTTTTTATGGTAAAATGAAGCTTTCCGGGAAGTCTATATTTCGAGAATACGCGAAAAAACTTGAAGTCAAATCTCGTCATCGTAGTCGTCCTTGTCCTCAAATCTGAAGGTCTCTTTAACGCGGGGAAACGAATACGACCCAAAGGGGCCATTTGCATGATGGCGTCATTTTACGACTATGACCAGGATCCGGTTCAGCGTTTTGTTTTCTTTGGTACCGAGGCACTGATAACGTATAACAAAAGAAACAATACAACCAAACAATAAAGCCTTTCAGGAGAACTCTATTGTTTGGTTGCATTGTTTCTTTTGTGATGACGGTACCTGCAGAAAGACCTAACATTTGGCGCTCTAATGTGTAATATTTTAAAACATTTTGCGCTTCGTTGCATCAATTCATGCAAAAATCAGTGTAATCAAGCAGTACCGTTTCACCCAGGACTATCTGGAAAAATTATCGCTTGTACTGTTCGACAGAGAGACAATCAGGTACATTTGCTGGATTCAGAGTAGTTCATTTCGTACGATTTAACCTGAACAGTTTTTTGAGATGCAAATTTTTGCGAGAACGACAGTCTGCTTGGACATCGAGGGCGAACCGAGAAGGAGATCACGCGCGAGCGAGCCTTGAAGGTCTTGAAAGACTCTCCGGTTGTTGCACCCCTCCGGCTAGGTGAGAGTCTTGGCTTTTCCCGATTCTTGCTCGAAGACCGTTAATTTTGGTTCGAAAAGTTAACAACAACGACAATAAACAGCGATAAGATTTTCAATGGAGTTCACAGCTATCCGTTTTAAAAGCGGCCAAACATCACAAACAGTTTAGTCGTCGTTAAAAAGAGTTGAACATTTTATGCGTTCGTCGTGAAGAAAGTTTAGTGAGAAAATGTGCAAACGACTTCTTCATTTAGATAGTGTCGAACAATGCTATTTTTAGGTGGTTTTGAACTATATTCTCGTTGGGTGCCCCTGTTATTCCGTGGCTAATTGGACCCCATTTTATCCCTATTTTACCTGAGGAACGGGCGCAGAAATTCCACTGATAGTGATGACGCGTCGCTACCTAGATCTTGGTTGAAGCAATTTTGAACTGACTGGTTGAAATAAATGTTCAGCCAATCAAAAGCACTACCCAGATCTGGGTAGTGACGGGTCATCACTATGGACGAATTTCTGAACTCGTTTCTCATGCTTCATTTTGCGTTGAAACCATCTTAGTGGAAATTCGACTGTTTTCCCCTGCTAAATGAGAGGCGGCTGTATGCACAAACTAGCAATTTCATTAATAACGAGAAAGGACTTTAAATATTCAAACTATATAATTTAACCTTACATTTACTGGACAATATCGCTACCAAGAGACGTAAAACCTTTTTACTGATATTCTCTCTTGTGATGAATGAACCGTGGAACTTGTTGAACTTGCTTTTGACTGCTATAACCCGTTTTTTCATATACCGGTAACTTAAGAAATGTAAGTTCCACAAAACCAGATCAAAAATGTTATGTTCTGTTGGATCTTATGAGTAGCCTTAATCTGTGCATA